CCGTGTGCTACCTTGACATGCCTACCCAACCGGCGATGGCCGTCGTAAGGCTCACTGATTTGATCACCCCCCCAAGGCCGACTGGCGGCTCTTGGGGGGGGGGATGGCTACGTCGGACGACTTTCCCGCCATCAGGGTCTCAGGGTCCCAGACGGAGACGGAAAATGGAGGAGGCATTAGGAGCACCCGCCAGTCGGAAGAAGCAGGTGGAAGTATGACGCAGGAAGGCGGCTGAAGCACATGGGGTTCGGGCCCGCCCAGAGAAGAACAAACCACAGCAAAGGCAGATCGGTTCTTGAAGTAGGAGGGCGCGTGAAGTACAGTCAACCCGTATCATAAGGACGTGCGGAAAGGATGCAGGAGCCTTGGAGACCCATGTGAACGTTGTCCGAATATGAGGGTGGCCAGCGAAAGCCGCTAAGTATGAGCCGAATGTGGCAAGGATGCAAGGGTGGCCTTGGGAAGGTTGTCCATCCTTCCTATGCGGGTTGACTGTAGACTGACACATGGGGTCCAAACATACCTATCTGCAACGACCGGTGCGTAGAGCCCCTCTTGATGGGCCCCTTTTTCACCACCACCATAAGTTGGAGGGGGGAAGGAGGAGGAGGGGGAGGAGGAGGAGAGGAGGAGGAGGATGAGGAGGAGGACGAAAGGAGCGAGGGGGAGAGGAGAGGAGGAGGAGGAGGAGGACGACGAAGAGGAGAGGAGCAGGAGGAGGAGCACGAAAGAGAGGAGAGAGCAGGAGGAGGAGGACGAAGAGGAGGATGAGGAGGAGGAGCAGGAGGAGGAGGACGAAGAGGAGGAGGAGCAGGAGGAGGAGGACGAAGAGGAGGAGGAGCAGGAGGAGGAGGAGGAGGGGGAGGAGGAGGACGACGAAGAGGAGGAGGAGGAGGAGGAGGAGGAGGAGGGGGACCCCCTGCCCCTCCAACGTATGGTGGTTGTGGACAGCAGGCCCGTCCACCCCCAAAGATGGGGCAGCCGCGGGGCCGGCGGCCGCGGGGAGCGGATCGCGGCCGCCCGCCGCGCAGCCCCGCGGGGGGTGGCCGCGGGCGGTTGCCCGCCGGCGCCCGCAGGTGGCCGGCCGCGCGCCAGGGCGGCCAAGGTCAAGGGGGCCCAAAGACACGCAAGTAGATATTGAACGCCCGAAATGCGTACGGAAAAAATGGGCACAATGCCCAACAACAAATGGTGTCCCAAACACCAACAGCGCCCGCTGTTGGGCAGGCGGCCTTCTGTCTCGAATGGACACAGGCCGCGGCGGCGCGGGCGAAGGACACGCAAATATATACTTTTTGGTGGGCAGCCGCAGGCGAGAGCGCCAGCGGCGAGTCAGGTCTGAGCGGGCCGCGCAAGAGCCGAATTGCCAAACGCCGACGGGCGGGCGACCTCAGGCAGCGCCTCGGTGGGCGGGCCGGCGCGAGGGGGGGTGCAGGCTGCAGCTGCGAGGGAACTGGTCCAGGGGCGCACGCATGTGAACTGGCCAAGGACACGCAAATAGATCAGAGTGAGGGGGCCGAACGGTCATTCACTGTCCCTGGGTGCGTGGCTGAAGTGGAATTCCGCGGTGCGGATTATCGTTGTTGTTGTTGTTCTTGTTGATGTTGTTGTTGATGTTGTTGTTGTTGTTGGCTGTTGTTGGTTTAGTGTTGTTGTTGTTGATGTTGTTGTTGTTGTTGTTGTTGTTGTTGTTGTTGTTGTTGTTGTTGGTTGTTGTTGTTGTTGTTGTTGTTTGTTGTCGTCGTCCCACCCGCAACCCGCCCCGCGACCCACCCGCGACCCACCCGCGCGACCCACCCGCGACCCACCCGCGACCCACCCACCCGCGACCCACGCGACCCACCCCGCGACCCACCCCGCGACCCACCCGCGCGACCCACCCCGCGACCCGCCCCGCGACCCGCCCACCCCGCGACCCACCCGCGACCCACCCGCGACCCACCCGCGACCCACCCGCGACCTACCCCGCGACCCACCCGCGACCTACCCCGCGACCCACCCGCGACCCACCCGCGACCCAAACAACGTTCAAGGTACAAACCACAATTTTCGGTTCCTGCGGCGGGCTTTTTTTGCATTCCTTCCAAGTTGAGAGCCCGCGACCCACCCCGTGACCAACTCGCGACCAACCCGCGACCCAAACCACGTTCAGGGTACAAACCACATTTTTCGGCGCCTGCGGCGGGCATCTTTTGCATTCGTTCCCGGTGGAGAGCCCGCGGCCCACCCGCGACCACGTTCAGGGTACAAACCACATTTTTCGACGCCTGCGGCGGGCATCTTTTGCATTCGCTCCCGGTGGAGAACCCGCGGCCCAACCGCGACCCAAAACACGTTCAGTGTACAAACCAATTTTTTGGGCGCCTGCGGCGGGCTGCTTCTGCATTCCTTCCAGGTGAGGTGGAGAGCCCGCGGCCCACCCGCGACCTAAACCACGTTCACTGAACAAACCAATGCCGCACAAGCGCGGCGGCGGATTTTCGCAAGCCCCGCGCATCCACACCAGCCCGTCCAGCAACTCTGCCCTGGCGAGTTGCCTTAATCAAAGAAGGCGGGGATCAGAAAGTGGAAAAAAGGATTGCGTTGCAGTTATCTTGGGAAAGGAGGGGAGGCAGGAGGAGTAAACAGGGGACGAGGAGAACGCGGAAGAAGAGAGGATGTAAGGATACTGTGGAGAAAGAAAAGGAGGAGGAGCAGGAGGACGAGGAGGGGGAGGAGGGGGAGGAGGAAGACGAGGAGGGGGAGGAGGGGGAAGATGATGATGATGATGATGATGATGATGATGATGATGATGATGATGATGATGATGATGATGATGATGATGATGATGCAGATGATGATGATGATGCTGATGATGATGATGATGATGACGATGATGATGATGATGATGATGATGATGATGATGATGATGATGGACGACAATGGGAGGACGATGATGGAGGCCGATGAGGGGGAGGATGACAATGGGAGGACGATGATAAAGGGACGAGGGGGGGAGAGGGAGGACGAGGAAGAAGAGGAGGAGGAGGAGGACGAGGTGGAGGAGGAGGATGACGATGACGATGAGGACGAGGACGAGGAAGAGGAGGAGGAGGAGGAGGAGGAGGAGGAGGAGGACAGCGCCATCGACAGGGAAGGTGGGGGCCACGAGGTCCGCCGGCTCGACGACGCCCGCGTCGCCCGCGCCCGCCCCCTCACTCTTATCCGCAATTGCGGGGTGCTACGTACACACAAGTCCGAGAGTTCCGGGTATTTTCCCATAGCTTCTGTATCTTCGTCTTCCCCCCCACTGCCCACATGTTCCTGCATTTTTTGGGGAGTCGACTATTCACTGTGTCTGTGTGTTTCTAGTGGCATGTCCTCAGACAAACGGATTTGGGAAGAATAATGAAAAGTAGGCAAGACATGCTCAAAGACTGTCCGAAATTGTCGAAAGTCGTCCAAAGAGTACGTTTATTCTGCCATTGTTGAAGTCTCCCCCTGTAGAGGGACATGCCGACTCAAGACCAAGACGAAGCCAGCCAGGGTGAGGGTAACATCGCGTGAGAAGGCATCGAGAGTCTCTGAGATCTGGCGGCTCTGGAGGCTGCATCCGGCCGGCACCACGGCCTCCTCCGAGCGTTCTGGAGCGCTCCGAGAGCGCTCCGGAACGCCCGGGCACGGACTCCTCCTCGCCCTGGCCCCGTCCAGGTGGCCCCAGACAGGAGACCTGCCTTCGAGGCGCGGCCTCGGGTTGGGAGGCAACTCCTGGGAGGTCCTTCGTGAGAACGACTGCGCGCCACCCGATTTAGGAGCCACTGAACTGGACTAGGTTGGAAATACACGTCGGTCGGAAGAAGTAGGTAAAAAGAGAAAGTAGGAAGGCGGACAAAGTGGATTGGGTCCAGGCCCTCCCAGAGAACAACAAGACACGGCAAAACCATGCCGACTCTTGAAGTAGGAAGGCGCTTGAAGTAGATTGGGATCTGGGAATCCAAAAATTCCTACTTTCAACGACCGGCGTCTACAGTCGACCCGTATCGTAAGGACGCACGATAAGGATGCAAGGACCTCGGCAGGTTACGTCGGCACTTCGCGGGTGGAGCGCGGCTAGCGAGAGCAGCCAAGCGTGAGCCGAGGAGGCAGGGGATGCGAGGGGTACCCTTTCGGAAAGCTGCCCATCCTCAACATGCAGGTTGACTGTAAGCCCAAGAGCAAGCCGGACTAAACCACGGTGAGCGGAATGATGCCGTCTTAGGCCGGCTATCGACCGCGGATGTATCGCCGCCGATGCTGAATCTGACCTCCCAGGAGTTGCATCATCATTTACCGGGGCGCAAGCCACTGCCACCGCATCGCATGGGCTAGCACCACGAGCGCACTCCGGCGAGGGGTCACTCTTCAAGGGGACCAAACTTCGCGCTTCGCGCTGCGCGAAGCGCGAAGAACTTCGCGCCCTCGCGCGGCCCCCCAGGGGAGAAGAGGAGAGTGAGGAGGAATCCGTGCCGAACCGCGAAGCGCGCAGCGCGACGAACTTCGCGCCCTCGCGGGCGCCCCTGCTTGCGTGTCGTCGATGTGTGCGGATCGGACTCCCCCCTTTGCTCGGGGGGAACGAAAGGGGGGGATAGCAAAGGATAGGGTAGAGAATCAGCTCACGTAGCTGATTTTCCCGGCGCCTCCCCGGCGCCGGGAGGCGCCCCTGTATCGAGGAATGGGCCCGGCGGCGGGGCCGAAACCAGCTGCATGCAGCAGATTTCGTACCCCCTCTTTTTCCTATCCCCCCCTTTCGTCCGGCCCGATAGAGTCGGCCCATATCAAAAGGATGCACGGTAAGGATGCAAGGGCCTTGGAGAGCCATGTCGAAGCTTCTCGAGCGGGGCGCGGCCAGCGAAAGTGGCCAAGGAAGGGAAGGAGGAGGCAGGGATGCCAGTATACCCTTGGGAAGGTTGCTCGTCCTTACCATGCGGGTTGACTGCAAATCCCCCCCTTTCGCTCGGCCCGGTTTGCTGCCCGCCGGCCACCAGCCGTCCTCTCCCCGGTCGGCTGCCGTGGGGCTGGGGAACTTGCCGTGGTGGCCTCGGCAAGGCGGTCTCCGGCGCTCGGCCAATTCCCGATCGAGGGCCCGATCGATCGCGCCGTGGTGGACCTCGGCGAGGGCGACGAGAGAGACACTCCTCGTGCCCTGCGAGCAGGGCGCCCCGTGGCCGAGGAGAGAGGAGGAGGGGAGGAGGAGGAGGAGGAGGAGGAGGAGGAGGAGGAGGAGAAGCAGGAGGAGGAAGAGGAGGAGGAGGAGGAGGAGGAGGAGGTGCACCGAATGAGCTAATCAATCTGGCGGCCCCGGCCGGGCCCGCGGCCAGGGGGACGACGACTGCATACATTCACTGCTCTCTAGTCACACCCCGCCTGAGCCCAGCAACGGGGAGTACGCCAGACCCTCCCGGCTTCGCCCAGAGGGCGTATGCACAGCTCCTGGGTTCGGGGTGGGCCTGGCCAGGGAGCAGTGGACCTGCATAGATCTCGTCGCCCGACGAGGCAAGCCGTGGAGCATGCGAGATTTCGGGGGCAGTGGCCAGGGAACAGCGGACAGAGACGTGGTCGGGTGGGCCTGGGAGGGGGCTCCAGGTATGCACCAAGCCACCTGGTCGGCCGAGGAGCTCCGTGAATACAGACGCCCGGATTTCCCGAGCTGCTGTGGGATGCAGGATCCCTGGCGTCTCCGCCGACCAGACCACGCGGTGTACACGTCGAGCCCGTGCGAAGGCCATCCACCAGGATCCGCCTGGCCCGATCCATGCCCCCAGGAGCCCGAGGCAGTGCTTCGATGTTCACGGCGTGGGCCCCAGGAGCTCTCGACCCCTTCTTCGGCGGCCGTTTCCTCATCGCGGGTCGGCTGCTCTGACGGCCACGGGGCGAACAACGCGAGACACGTTCGCCAGCGTGGGCCCCAGGCAGTGGACGAGTGCACTCTCGAGGTGCAGCACGTGTTGTGTAGTATGTAGTTGGTGCTACTTGTGTTACAACAGATGGCGGAGGATTGAGCCTGTAGCGCGTTGAAAGTGGCGCAGTCTGTGGGGTGCAACTGTCTGGTAGGACTTGGAGTCGGCAACTCCAACGCTCGCTCGAGCAAGCATCCACCCACCCACCCGCAACTGATCGAACATGCTTGGAAGGCCGCGGGTGCGGTGACCTGTCGGAACTTGCTCGAACACCCCACAGGCGCAACGAAGCGCGGACCCTTCTCGTGCAGATCCATGGCCGGGGCAGGCGAGAGGCGAGAGGCGGGCAGAGAGAAGTCCGCGTGAAAGCACGCTTGCTGACCCAAGCTGAGGCTTTCAATGTGTTGATTGCCTGGCTGGAGTGCGTATTGATGTTTCTCTGCAGCTTCGCAGCTGAGGCGACACCTCGGTGCCAGCGCTGGCACCGCTGAACATTGTTCTACGATGCGGAGGGGATGGGGTGCAAAGAGATCGGCATGCGGGAGTTGGGCAATGATGTCTGAACGAGGGCCAGGGAAGGGGGGTGTATAAGAGAAGAGGGGGACAGGTTATAAAGCAAAACAATGAAGGGGGAGGGAACCAGGCAGGTCGAGGTTTCCCACTTCCTGCGATTTGGTTGTTGGTGAGGGGGTGTCGCAGAATCGGGCCACCCACATCCCGCAAGGGACTCATGCTTGTATCCCGTTCCATGGGGAATCGTGGGCGACACGGGATGTGTGGTAGAATCGGGGGGACTCGACCCCGCAGGAGATGCGTGCATGTATCCCGCTGGGCTAACGTTGAGAACGAGGGAGTGGAGCAAAATCGGGGGGACCCCCTTTTGCTCTCGTCTCTCCCCCGCCGCGCGTTGCGGAGAGAGGGGCTCCAGCATGATCCACTTCCCACAGACATCGTACACGGAGCGTGCGTGGTGCGAGCTATCGTGCCACTCCCGGGCTCCCGGGTGACACCAGCAGCGGCACACGGCATCGACAGTGCATAGTCTGTCCCTCTTCCTCCTCCTCCTCCTCCTCTCCTGCTCCTCCTCTTCCTCCTGCTCCTCCTCCTCCTTGGCACGCCCAGACAGGCATCGATGACGGCTGGGCCAGCACACCCAAGACGCAGCAGGGATGGCGAGTGGCCCGGCACGCCCAGACAGGCACCGACACTGGATGGGCCGGCACGCCCGCACGGGGCAACGACTGCGGATGGACGCACGCCCGAACAGTGCCAAGCAGCGGGCCTGGGCTCACCTGCCCCGCGAGCGTGGCCGCAACTCGGCGGACAGACCCTGCCGCCCCTTGCCGAGCGCGCTCCGGATGCTGCTGCTCCGCTCCTCGACCCACCCCGCGGGGGGAGGGGGGGCAGCCCGCCCACGGCATCGGCACAGCGGGTTGCCCGGCGCGCCCAAGCGGGCATCGGTGACGGATGGGCTGGCACGCCCAAGACGCGGCATCCATCGTGGATGGGCCGTCACGCCGAACTAGGCATCGGTGATGGAGTGGTCGACGCACCCGAACAGGCTTTTGTTCTGGCCATGCGGCGGAGGAAAAAAGGAGGAGGAGGAGGAGGAGAAGGAAAAGGAGGCGAAGGAAGAGGAGGAGGAGGAGGAGGAGGAGGAGGAAGAGGACCAGTGTAAACCAGACAATCATGAACGATCTTGAAACAAACCCTCCCTCTGAGCTCCGTCTTCATAGGCCCCTCCTTCTACACAACCCTACAAGAAGAAGGAGGACGAGAAACAGGAGGAGGAAGAGGAGGAGAAGGAAGAGAAGGATGATGATCATGCTGATGATGATGGTGATGGTGATGGTGCTGTTGATGTCGATGGTAATGGTGATGATGTTGATGATGTTGGTGATGCTGATGCTGCTCATGATGATGATGATGATGATGATGATGCTGATGATGATGAGGATGATGATGATGATGATGATGATGGCAATGATGGTAATGATGGTGATGATGCTAATGATGATGGTGATGATGATGATGATGATAATGGTGATGATGCCGATGCTGATGATGTCGATCATGATGATGCTGATGATGAGGAGGAGGAGGAGGCGAAGGAGGAGAGGGGCAGGAGCAGGAGGAGGAGGAGGAGGAGGGACGAATAGTAGGAGGAGGAGGAGGAGGAGGATTATGAGGAGGAGGAGGAGGAGAAGGCATGGAGGAGGAGGAGAAGGAGGAGGAGAAGGAGGAGGAAGAGGAGGACCAGTGTAAACCCAATAATCATCAACGATGATTGAACGGTGGAAGGCAACCCACCAAGCTCCGTCTTCATAGGCCCCACCATCTACAGAGACCCCTAAAAGGAACAGGAGGAAGAGGAGGAGGCGGAGGGACGAGGAGGAGGAGGAGGCAGAGGACGAGGCGGAGGAGGAGAGGGAGGAGGAGGAGAAGGAGGAGGAGGAGAAGGAGGAGGAGGACGAGGAGAGGAGGGGAGGAGAGAGGAGGAGGAGACGGAGGAGGTAGGAGGAGGAGGAGGAGGAGGAGGAGGAGGGGAGGAGGAGGAGGGGGGGAAGAGTGATGGAGGAGAAGGAGGTAGAAGGAGCAGGAGAAGGAGGAAGAGAGGAGGAGGAGGAGGAGGAGGAGGAGAAGGAGAAGGAGGAGACGGAGGAGGAGGAGGAGGAGGAGGAGGAGGAGGAGGAGGAGGAGGGGAGGAGGAGAGTTGGAGGAGGAGGAAGGAGGGAAGCAGGAGGAGGAGGCGGAGGAGGAGGAGGAGGGAGGAAGAGGAGGAGGAGGAGGAGGAGGAGCGGAGTTGGAGGAGGAGGAGGAGAGGAGGAGGAGGAGGAGGAGAGAGGATGCCCCACTGAGGCACGGGCGCGTCCTCCGGGGCCCCTCCTCGGGCCTCGCGCCGGGCTTGCTGGCCCCTGCGGGGGGCGTCGCGGGCACCCCGTACTCGGAGACCTTGCCCCGCCGCCGCGTGCGGCCCGGCGGCTGCACCTGCGAGGGGACGGGGGGCTCCTCCACCACCTCCTCCTCCTCCTCCTCCTCCTCGTCCCGCCTCCCTCCTGCCTGCTCCTCCTCCTCCTCCTCCTCCGCCGCCTCCTCCGTCCCCCCGCGTCATGGCCAGCGGCATGCGTCATCGTGCATGCGTTATCAGCGTCAGCATCAGGCATCAGCAGATGCCGCATCAGCAACCATGCAAGACGCAGCCATCGTCATCATCATCACCATCATCACCATCATCATCATCACCATCACCATCACCATCACCATCACCACCATCATCATCATCATCATCATCATCATCATCATCATCATCATCATCATCATCATCATCATCATCATTATCAGCATCATCACAATCATCATCAGCATACTCCTCCTCCTCCTCATCATCATCAGCATCAGCATCATCAGCAGCATCATCATTATCATCATGAGCATCATCATCAACATCAGCATCATCATGGTCACCCTGTTCATCCTCCTTCTCCTCCTCCTCCTCATCGTCATCATCATCATCCTCATCCTCATCATCATCATCATCATCATCATCATCATCAGCATCATCATCATCAGCAGCATCGTCATCATTATCAGCATCGTCATCATCATCCTGCTCCCATATCCTCCTCATTAGTTTCCCGTCTCCTCCTCCTCCACTTCCTCCTGCTCCTCCTCCGAGACTCCCTCCACCCTCCTCTTGCTCCCGCCTCTTCCTCCCCTTCCTCCTTCTCCTCCACCTCCTCCTCCTCCTGCTCCTCCCCCTCCTCCTCCTCCTCCTCCTGCTCCTCCACCTCTTCGTCCTCCTCCTCCTCTTCATCCTCCTCCTTCTGCTCCTCCTCCTCCTCCTCCTCCTCTTCGTCCTACTTCCCCCCTACAACTTACACCTCCACCTCCTCCTCCTCCACCTCCGCCTACCTCCTCTTCCTCCTCCTCCACCACCGACCTCTCCACCTCCTCCGCCCACCACTCCTCCTCTCCCTCCTCATCCTCCTCCTTCTCCTTTCCCCACCTCTCCTCCGCACTCCCCCTCCACCTCCTCTATCCTCCTCATCCACCTCCTCTCCTAGAGTTCCTCCTCCTCCTCTTCATCCTCCTCCTCCGTCTTCTGTCCCTCCTCCTCCTCCACTCTCCACCTCCTCCTCCTCCACCTCCGCCTCCTCCTCTTCCTCCTCCTCCTCCTCCTCCTCCATCCTCCCTTCTTAAATTTTCCCCGTTTTCCCCCAACATCACTCTCCTCCTCCTCCTCCTCCTCCTCCTGCTCCTCCTGCTCCTCCACTGTCCTCCTCCTTCTCCTCCTCCTCCTCTCCCTCCTCCTCGCTCCTTCTCCTCCTCCTCGTCTCTCCTCCTCCTCCTGCTCCTCCTCGTCCTCCTCCTTCTCCTGCTCCTCCTCCTCCTCTTCCCCTTCTCCTCCTCCTTCTCTTCCTTATTCTGCACGCGGCCAGAAGGAATGGTTGGGTCCACGCCGCCTACACGTTCGGGGGAGAGGGGGGGATCCCCTTCCGCCCCGCGACCTCCCGAGACAGCGGGCGCTGTGGGGCGGCCACTCCGGCGGGGCCCGCAAGAACCTCTAAGGGAATGGGTGGGCATCACCGATGCCAGGCGGCCCCCGCGCCTCCTAGTTCTCCGGGCACCAGGGACACAGGGCACCCCCTGCCCGACACCGCGCGGGGGGGCGTGCGGAACGGGTAGACGCGGGGTACCTGGCCTGCCCGCAAGGAGCACATTTCAACCGACGCGCATCCCTGTGCCCACGGACCGATCTGCACCCCTCCCATATGGGGGTGCGTGCGGTTGCCCTCGGGTTTCTCAGGGCCTATCGCCACGTTGGGAGGTGGGCTGGTGGGGCTCAGGGGAGATGGCCAAGTGGGTATGGGGATGCGCCAGACGATGCCGACGCACAGACCCCTTTGCCCAAGGAGGCTCAGGCGGTGCTCTTCCTGGCTCGCCCCTTAGGGCGCTGCGCGCGACCGCGGGCGCCGGGGCAGCAGCGCCGGCTCTGGCACCCTGGGCAACTGCGCGACCCGCTGCGCAGCCAGGCGCGCTCGAGGCTCAAGCCCCCGGACTGCCCCCTGGCGCAGGGCAAGTCGCCCGAACCCAAAGCTGCCTGGCACCGCGCCGGCAGACACTCCCGCCCTCTGGGGCACGCGCCCACCGATAGAGATCTCCTAGATGGGGTCCGAGTAGATGGGGTCGACGGATCGCGCTGCATCGGCGATACATCGGCGATGCATCGCCGATGCATCGGCGATGCACTGGCGACGTCGGCGGTGCATCGGCGACGTCGGCGTGAAGCAAATCGGACTCCGCATCGAGCCGCGTCGCCGATGCATCGCCGATGTATCGGCGATGCGGTGCGATCCTTCGACCCCACCTACTCCGACCCCATCCAGGAGGCCTAGAACCGAGGGGCTCGTGTCGTGCACGCCCCCGGCCGAGCCGGCGGCCCGCTCTAGGCGCAGGTCGGCGCCCCCGCCGCGGAAGCGAGCGGGGGCCCAGGTCGGGCACGTCCTCCTGCGGGCGGATGTTGGAAGAAAGACGAGAAGTGGTCAACCAAAAGTACGCAAAAAGAGTCAACAGAGTACGAGCCGTCGGCCCTGGACTATCTGCTAGCTACTCCTGAATGCATATGCTCCTGTCCTGCTACGGGCGGGTTTTGGAAGAAAGACGAGAAGAGGCCAACAACAAGTAGGCACAAAGAGCCAACAGAGTACGAGCCGTTGGCCCCAGACTACCTGTCAGCTGCTCTTGAATGCATATACTCCTCCTCCTCCTCCTCCTCCTCTTGTAGGGGGACGTGTCTGATTTGAGAGCGGGGAGGCCTGCCCTCGCGCAGGCAGGCGCCCTTCGGGTCGGCACAGGCTGGGCCGCTCAGGCACACGGCCCAGGGACGAGCGCCCCCACGGCCCGCAGAGCCGAACCCCCGAGGGACCGGAGGCGGCAGACCTCCCCACTACCCAGACCAACGGCGCGAAAGCGGGAAGGAGGAGGGGGAGGAGGGGGAGAAGGAGGAGGAGGAGGAGGTGGTGGAGGAGGAGGAGCAGAGGAGGAGGGGAGGAAGAGGTGGAGGAGGAGGAGGAGGAGGAGGAGGAGGAGGAGGAGGAGGAGGGGAGGAGGAGGGGGAGGAGGAGAATGAGGAGGGGTTGCCGCCCTTGGCCATGCAGGCCGCCGGTACTGCGAGGCGGCCGCGCGAACTCCACACAGGGCACGACTCGGCGGCCTTTCCACGTCCCCTGGGGCCCCCGGCGCGCCGCCCGCGCGCGCTGGGGCACCCCTGCGTGGGCTGATCCCCTGTTGTTCTTGGCACGGTGCCAGGGCCAGGTGCACCAGAGGGGGGAGACAGAGGAGGAGGAGGAGGAGGAGGAGGAGGAGGAGGAGGAGGAGGAGGAGGAGGAAGAGGAGGAGGAGGGAGGAGGAGGGAGGAGGCGGAGGTAGAGGAGGAGGAGGAGGTGGAGGAGGAGAAGGAGGAGGAGGACGACGACGAGGGAGAAAAAGGAGAAGGGAGGAGCAGGTGGGGGAGGGAGGAGAAGGAGGGAGATAAGGCGGAGGACGGAGGATAGAGGGGGGAGGATGGACGATGGAGAGGAAAGGAAGAGGAAGAAGAAAAAGAGGCAGGAGGACCATCACATGCTTATGAGGAAGGCTAGGGTTAGGCCGACCCGACCCTGACCGAAACCTGAGGGTTACATCCGCTCTCCCCTTACTCACTCTTTCGTCCCTACGTCGCCCCTTCTAGCTGGGCCGCAGGAATTGGCAGGGAAAGTCGGGGGCGGTCCTTCATACTACTCTTGGGATGACGGCCGCCAGCCAGGAGGGACCACGCACCTTGGAGGACGGGAAAGAGGGCGTTCGCCTTAGCGCCGCGCACATTCGTTTTACACCATGTCCAAAGGCTTCACGGATTGAGAGCGGCTCGTTTTTTTTATTGTGGCTCTCGCCCTAGCGCCGCGCACACTCGGTTAAACACAACACAAGAGCTACAAGGATTGAGGACGGTTGGGTTTCGAACTGTGGCACTCGCTTTAGCGCCTTGCACATTCGGTCAAGGAAATTACAACTGTGTCGCGAATTGAAAGCGCGGCTTTCACTCTAGCGACGCACATATTCGTTTTACACAATCGCAAGAGTCCTGATACTTATCCAGATTAACACGCCAGTAATGCTACTTTGGAACGATTCTGGATTGTCAGGGCGCAACAGTTACGTTGATTCGTGGCGTTTAAATCCAATGAATGGTGCTGTGGCACGGTTCAGGATCGCCTAGACGTAACAGCTAGAAGAACTCGTGGTGTTGAAATCGTGAAGATGGTGTGCTGGCGCGCTTCAAGATGTTCACACGGTTGTCCCCAGACGGGGCACTTCCCTCAGTTCAGATAGTATCATAATGGGGGGCCTGTGCAGAGAGATCTTACAGGGCAGCTGAATGCACTGGTTTTTCTCCTCCTCCTCCTCCTGGTCCTCCTCCTCCTCCTCCTCCTCCTCACTCCTTCCTCCTCATCCTCCTCATCCCTCATCCTCTTGTTGCGCGCCTCTCCTCCTACTCCTCCTCCTCCCTCCTCCTCTCCTCTCTCATCAGCATCATCATCACCTCCTCCTCCCACTCTCCTCCTCCTCCTCCTCCCCTCCTCCTCTCCCTCCTCCTCTCCTCCTCCATTCCTCCTCCTCCTCTCCTCCTCCTCCCAGGTGTTTTCCACCATCGTGAATGAATATTGGGTTTGCGCTGGTCCTCCTCCCCCTCCCCAACCTCCTCCTGCTCTCCTCCTCCTCCGCCTTTTCCTCCTCATCCGCCTCACTCATCCTCCTCTCTCCCTCCCATCCTCCTCCTCCTCCTCCTCCCCTTACCCTCCTCCTCCTCCTCCTCCTCCTCCTCCTCCTCCTCCCCCTCCTCCTCTCCTCCTCCTCCTTCTCCTCCCCGTGCGCGCCTCGTCCGGTTCCGCCTGCCGGGCCCTCGCCGCCCTGCCTGTGGCGGGCGCGGCCTTCTCCGCCTCCTTGCCCTTGCCCTTGCCGCTGGCGTC